GGAGGCTGAAGCAGGAAGATGGCAAATTTCTAGGGCTTGAGCTCAGGGTCTTTGGTACTATCCTTTAGCCTTTTTGCTCAAGGCTAGGAATCTACCACTTGAACCAAAGTTGCACTTCTAGCTTTTTGGTTAAGTGGATTTTCCTGGTTTGACTAGCTTCAAACCATGATCCAGAGATCTCAGTCTCCTGGGTAGCTAGGATTACAGGTGTGAGTGACTGATGCTTGACAAAAAAAATAAAAATACAGGATTTTAGCAGTAGAGATACTATACATTTGATTAATAAACTTTTAATCCTACTGCAGAATTTTCCACTAGAACACTTTTTTTTTCACCTTGATACCAGAACAGTACTGTAAGGAGAAATTCAGAGTATTTTTCATTTACTTCATGCTTAGCTATTTGGATTATAAACCTGCAGCTGAAAAAGAATTATGTTCTTTCTGAAATGTTCTAAAGTCATAAATGCCACTATATTGTCATAGTAACAGTACATATGCCATGTTATCAGTTTAAAAAAAAAGTGTGAAATGAGTGGAATCTTTGGAATTCCCTTCCCCACCAATTTAACAAAGCTCAGATTTGTTGTAGTTAGAACAGAGATCATCTCTTCAAGCTATCCAAGTTTCTGCTTTTTACTGGCTATTTACAATCTACATAATAATAATTTACATAGTCTACAAAATTTATGTACATTCAAGATAGCAGAGAAAAAAGGTTGCAGCAAATCTGTTAAAAATATAGTTTATATTCAAAACTACATCTCCTTTACAATTAACATAAAATTCATGGTTGCCTATTGAGTGGATAAATGCCAACATCTTTGATGAAGTCTTTGCAATTCTCCATCTGCAAGAATGAAAATATGTGTTTCTGGCCTTTATGAGCTACTTTACAGAGATTCAAACTTGGAGAACAAAGAAATTGAAATTGAAATTAAGTCACATTTCATTATTTCAAAAGCTATAAATAGAATCTGAACTTCTGATATCTAAAATACCAAAAACCAGGCAAGGAATAAATGTATTTCTAAAAGAGCAGCAAGAATTTTCCTAAAACCTACACCAACTTAAAGACCAAACTAGAATGATTCGGATTGTAATCAAAAGTACCAAATATGTGTTTCAACAAAAATCATTATAGCCAGGAAATTTAAACATTAAATTAAAATACGACATAGAATTCTCTTACAGAAGAAAATGGTCCCCAACCAAATGATTCAAGATGTTGTTTGCAAGCCAAGGGCCAAACTGATACTGTAACAAACCTAACACCTCACCGTGGTTTTTCTACCAGGTGGAGCAGCACAGCCATACCCAGGATTTAGGTAGCAGGAACGTGCAGAGGCGCCTGGTCTGGCCTCTGCAGCAACAGTCTGCTCCCTGACCAAGACCTCTGAAGCAGCTCTGGGTACTCTGAAGCTGTTTGTACAGCCGTTTTCCCACAGCCTTGCTTCCTTTATAGGCACATTTCCCTACTGGGAATCATTCCTGTCCCTCCTGAAGGATAAGGATGGAGCCTGGTCCTCCATCCTAATGTGTGTGTACCCTTCTTGGAGCAGAATGGAAGGGTATCCTGGAAGGTAACCTGGGACCTATGTGCAGATCTCTGCCTACCTGAATGTAACTATAAAAATTCACTTACCCAGTACTCTGGAGGCTGAAGCAGGAACACTAACTAAAGGACAGTACAAGTCTCATAAATATCAAAATAGTTCAGAGGATTCTCCCCCCCCCCCACCATTCCCCACGGTGTGCTCAGCTCCCACTCACAGACTAATGCCCTCATCTTCATGTTTAGCTTGGAGATTTCTTCTATCAAAGCTATGTCTATAAAATGGACTAGACATCATTTCCTGGATGATGGGTCTATCTAAAACTCAAATATAAAAGCCCAGAACAGAGACTCAACCATGTAAATCCTAGCTATTCAAGAAGGGAAATCTGATTATGGTTCAAAGCCGCCTAAGCAGGAAAGTCTGAGGCTCTTATCTTCAGTTAACCACCAAAAAGCAGGAAGTAGAGCTGTGGCTCAAGTGGTACAATACTAGCCTGGAGCCAAAAAGCTCAAAGTCCCAGGACTAGCAAAAAAAAAAACCCCAAAATTAAAAAAAGCCAACAAAACCAGGCTTCATAACAACAATGTAATACTCAGTGTCAATTATTTTCAGTGATCTCAAGCATTTAGAACCAACAGTCATACCATTTTGCTCAGTCCATCCCTAATCACATAACCCTAGAAGTTGCTCCATTCACAAGCTAGCAGCTGATAGCACTGACATAACTATAGCTTGTTATATCTTGTTTTGTTTTTGGTGGCTGAGGGGCTTGAACTCAGAGCCCTGGGGGCTGTTCCTGAGCTCTTTTGCTGAAGGCTAGCGCTCTACCACTTAAGAGCCACAGCTCCACAGCTGTGGTTTTCTGGTGGTTAATTTGAGGTAAGTCTCATGGACTTTCCTGCCTGGGCTGGCTTCAAACCATGATCTCCAGATCTCAGCCTCTTGAGTAGCTAGAAACTGGAATGGGCCACAGCACCTGGCTCAAAAGTATGGCTTTATTGCTTTGTATTAATCACTACATGAAAAAAGTGTGCTTAAAATGAAAGCTTCCATGTATAAAAAGTGGCTCCCAGAAGAAAGTTGTCATAGCGTTTCTTACAGAAAAGGAAAGATGTTATAGCTTTCGATACAGAGTTTTAAAGGCAAAGGTACAGATGAACCCAACACTGGCTTCTTAGACATAGCTAAACATAGAAAAATGAAAGTATTAGTGAATGGGAGAAGGCAAGGATGGAAAACAGTAGAATTAAATAAATAAGGACTAACAATAGAGAAAAAAAATCCCACAAACTGTCGTTAATAGACAACTTATAACAAAATTAATTTTTATTTGGTGATGGGAATGGAACCCAGCTAAGCAAACACCACACCCTCAGTCCCCATGAGAAAAACTACATATTTGGGGAAAAGGATGGTTTCTTTTTAGTTGGCAGCTCTGGAAATTGAGCTCAGGTCCTTGTGCTTATAAGATGGGCACTCTAGGGGATAGGAAGGTGGCTCAGTGGTAGAGCGCTTGCCTTGCATGCATGAGGCCCTGGGTTCAATTCCTCAGCACCACATAAGCAAAAAGAGAAAAAGCCGGAAGTGGTGCTGTGGCTCAAGTGGTAGAGTGCTAGCCTTGAGCTGAATTGCTGAGGGAAGCGCCCAGGCCCAGAGTTCAGGACCCACGACTGGACCAAAAACAAATAAAAGATAGGCAATCTACTACTATAGTAGAGGCCTGCCTCCAGACCATGTCTGTATTGGTTACTTCCCAGATAGTTTTGCTTTATGCCTAGGCCAGTATGGGGTACAATTCTCTTGTCTTTCTCCATTTTGTTAAGGATTACAGTCACATGCCACAGCACCAAATTACTGAGATGAAGTCTCATGAACTTCTATGCCTGGGCTAGCCTGTACTACAATCCCTAATCCCCTACTCCCAAGTAGCTATGATTAGAGGCTAGAGCCACTATGCCTGGGCAAAAGGATGAGTTCAATAGTGCTTTGTTAATAGGGGGAAAAAAACCTCATACCATATATAAATTTTCCAAGTGTGGTGGCGTACACCTGCAATCCGAGGTAGTAGATGTAGGGATTAGATTGTGGCTCAAGGTTAGCCTTGGCAAAATGTGAGATCAAGAACTGAGCATCCTATCTACATGGGAGATATAAAAAGGAAAAATCACAGTCCAAGTTGGCCAAACACAATGTAACATGTTATTTAAAAGATAACTAGTGTGGCACTAGTAGCTCACACCTGTAATCCCATTCAGAAGGCTGAGATTTGACGACTGAGGTTCAAAGCCAGTCTAGTCTGGGCAGCAAAGTCCAGAAGATTCTTATCTCTAATTAACCACCAGAAAACCTGTGGCTGAAAGCCACAAGCAAGAGCTCAGGGACAGCACCCAGGCCCTGAGTTCAAGCCCCATGACCTCCGGGGGGAGGGGGGCAGGGGGGAGGAGTAACTAAAGCAAAAGAGGTCAGGGGGCATGCTTTACATAAGAAGCACAAGAGCCCCCCCCCGCAAGCACCCCAGCGAAGTTCAACCCCTCAGTTTTCCCTCCACACACATACATGTGCATACGCACCATCAATCAATAATGCAGTCTTCCCATGTGATGTGCATTTTGGTCCACAATGAACCACAAATCCCACAATGGTCAATGTATTGTACTGCCTGGTAATGTAGTCATTTTTTTACGTAAAAGCTCATCTGATACTCAGATGATGATAAAAAATTATCTAACATACTTACTAGAATATAGACCCATTGTTAACACAACTATATCATCTAAAAAATAAAATTTTATGACTGTGTGAGATTATGAGTAGACAAAGATTACTAAAAGAAAAACAAAAACAGTAAATAAAAGTGGATACAGTTGAATTTAATTGCCACGCCCAACTCTTCATCTGTCAAAATACTGGGTAGGAAAAGACAACTAACTGTCCATTAGTTTTGATTCATGCTATTAAAATTCAGGCTTTGTATTTATGGATGGAAATTGTGTACCTATCCTGAGCTAGGAAAAAACAAGTTCCTCCCTCTTTAATTTTTTTTTCTTGCCAGTCCTGGGTGCTGTTTGTGAGCCTCTTTGTGCTTAAGGATAGAGCTCTCCCACTTGAGCTACAGTGCCATATCTGGCTTTTTCTGAGTAGTTTATTGGAGATGGACTTTCCTGCCAGAGCTGGCCTTGAACTACAGTCCTCGGATTTCAGCCACCTGAGTAGCTAAGATTGATTATAGGCAGGAGCCACCGATGCCCAACAAGTTCCTCCCTCTTAAACTCATCTGTTAGCTGTTCTAGTAGGCTTAGGAAGGCCAAGACAAGATACCTAGTGCTGACTCAAGTGTAAGTATTTATGATTAACAGAGACATGTATTTTGCAGGAAGTGCTCCTCGCTCTTTTTATTTATTTAACCTTTCTCTTCACTTTGGTCCTCAGGGTAAGGTTATGTGAAACTCAGGCTGGCAATCTGCCATTTGAGCCCTGCCTATAGCTGTCTAGTTTCCAACTAGTGAGGCTCAAGCAATCCTCCCACCTCAGTCTCGGTCTCAGTCTCCCAGTCTCCTGGGACGACAGGAATGTACCATCATGTCTAGTCCTAAACTGAAAATTTGTATCTGATTCATACTTGCAACTAAAAAAAAAAGCAAGGCTAAGATACCAAAATAGTAGGTTTGGTTTTCTAGGAATAAAAACCAAGACAATATGTATGCACTGTAAAATTGTTGTTTTTGTTTTTAATGGCAGGTCAAATATTTTGATAGTCTTCTAACCCAGTTGAGTTCCAATATTAAAGTAACACACATGAGCTAAGAGAATTCAATATTGTTCCAAGGCACTTACTGAATCTCCATAACTAGATGAAAACAAAACAATTAGGATGGACAATTAGACAATTTATAATATAAAAATAACCTTTTCCATACAATTTACAAAATGTATTATTATTACAATCTTTGATCGCTGATAACCTGCAATGCTGGCTGCATGAATCCAGCAATTTTAAAATTCAGAAACTATTTTCTAAAATTTCAGGGCAAATAATTTACAAATAAGATACACAAAGATTTAGACCATGCAGAAATTTCTTACATCTTCTGTTAATAATATTTTATGACTCCAACTTTATCAAATTATATAACTACTTGCCCTGTACATATACAAAATAATGCATACATGATAAAACAGCAAAATAGTCCATGAACTCAATTCATCATAAAATTATTACTGTAATAACAGGTCTACAAGCAGCGTGTAACAGGGTTAAGAGACATTAAGGCAATAATACTTGAAGTTACAAAATAAACCATATGTAATACTTTTTCCTAACTGTAGTATAAGGCAGGTAGATGATCCCAGCAAAAAATACTAAGGTAACAATCTACACTGCTGTTAGTCCCACATTTTAAAGATGGAATACTATAAATCTGGCTTTCAGTGGCACTTGAATTTTCCAGTATAATTTAAAGGTTGTATTCCCTGAATCATGTCCATTCAGAAGGTGGGTCTCTTGGTCCTTTTGGTTTGCCACAGCGATTACCAAAACCTATAAGCAAAACACCAGAGTAACTGATCAATGTTCAAAAATACTTTTATGTCACTAAAACTGTACCCACAGACACTCTCATTTCTTGGAAAGTTATTTACAGATGAGAAAACAAAAGCAAATTAAAAAAACTGTACATCTATTCTAGGTGTTTTAAAATAATTGCTTCTTAAAAAAAAATATGAGCAGGCACACTGCCTTTAAGTCCAGCAGTCCTAGCATGGGCAGCATAGGGAAGCCCCATCACAAACAACCCCAAAACTACATTTACCAAAGGAAACACAATACCAAAGACTAAGTTTTAGTCTTCTTTTCCTTCTTTGGTTATACATTACATTTTTTTAAGTATTTTAGTTCTTCTGTTGTAATCATTTTAATAAGGGGCAAGGGAGAATGATAAGAGGGAAGTTTGATCAGGATACATTGTATTTATATATGGAAATGTCATAATGAAAACCTCTTTGTACAAAATAGTATATGCAAACAGAAGTATTTTATTTTATAATCTTAGTATGGAACTAGGCAAATTACTTCATTTATTTTCTAATTACTTCGAAGTAATTCTGATTATTCTTTGCAACCTGAAGAAATCATACTAAAATTGCTTTTAGAAATACTGAAACAAGAGAAAACCATCTTTTCTCCCTCTTGCCTGCATTAACTAAGATTTAAAAGTATTTATTAAACAAATTACCAATATCTGTGGCTTCTGTTGGACTTTCTGTTACTTGATCTTTCTTGTCACTGAAAGTAGGTGGACATTCTGTACAAGTCTCTGTGATGTGATTACCTCCTGATACATGATCTGAAATACAAACCTATCTATCAATCATCCTTTACATGAAGCATCATACACAGCACTTTGTAATTGCTTCATGTTAGCAATAACTAAGAGAGACAAGTTTTATTTAAAGTCACCATAATTTTAGAGGCTTTGCTAAGTACAAAAGAGTAAATGTGGTGCTGGGAAGATGGCTCAGTGGTAGAGCGCTTGCCTCACATGCATGAGGCCCTGGGTTCAATTCCTCAGCAACACAGAAACAGAAAAAGCCTGAAGTGGAGCTATGGCCCAAGAGGTAGAGTGCTAGTCTTGAGCTGAAGAGCTGAGGGACAGTACCCACGCCCAGAGTTCAGGCTCCATGACCGGGGGTGAAAAAAAAAGTGAGTTGTTTTGAGATAACAGGGTCTCATTGTGTAGCTTAGAATGATGTCAAATTCATAATCCTATCTCAGCCTGCTGGGGTTATAGGCATGTGCCATCACATTGTGCATACTTTTTTTTTCTTAACAGCAGCTGGGTACCAGTGGCTCACACCTATAATTCTAGTAACTCAGGAGCCTGAGACCTCAGGATCACACAGCTCGAAAGCCAGCCTAGGTAGGAAACACTGATCTCCAACTAAGTACCAAAAAAAGCCAGAAGCAGAGCTGTGGCTCAAGTGGGTGAGCATTAACTTTGAAAAAAAACCCTCAGATTCTGAGTTCAAGCTCCAAGACCTGCACCAAAAAAAAAAAAAAGCCATGCTAAGCATATGCTCACTCACGGAGTAATATCCCAGCTTCTGTTTTTATGAACAGTATAAAATTATTTCTCATACACTGTCATTAATAGAAAAGTTCTTAAATTTTCCAGATCATAATTTAGGGTGGTGAAATTATTTTAAAAGAATTAAAACAGCTGGGCGCCGGTGGCTCACGCCTGTAATCCTAGCTACTCAGGAGGCTGAGATCTGAGGATCATGGTTCAAAGCCAGCCTGGGCAGGAAAGTCCGTGAGACTCTTATCTCCAATAAACCACTTGAAAACCGGAAGTGGCGCTGTGGCTCAAGTGGTAGAGCGCTCGCCTTGAGCTGAAGAGCGCAGGGACAGCGCCCAGGCCCAGAGTTCAAGTCCCACCATGGACAAAAAAAAAAAAAAAAATAGAATTAAACAAATAAATATTCTAGGAAAGTTGTTCTTTATATATAGAAATAAAACCAAATAAAAAGTACAACTAATGATATATGCTGTTTTATAAGGTCTATCGTGAAAATAACATTGAACCACTTACCACATTTTTCATATCCAGAGGTTATCAAGTCCTATAAGGAAGACATTTAATAGCTATGAAAATAAATTCATTTTATGTACAGATAAGGTTTTGCTACAGGTACACTTCCCAAGAAAATAAAACTTTCAAATTTTCAATGTGGCTTTTCTACAACTTTATGTGGCAATTCAAATGTTTCATGTTATCTATGTCAGAGATGTAATATGGGGAAAGTACTGATTGTGATGAAATAAAAAAACATTAACCATGGTCAAAATATTTTTAAGTACTAACACATTTCCAAGATGCAAAAGAAACCGAATATGGCAGAAATGTTATGGTGAGGTAAAAAAATCTAGGGAAGTAATATGAACCCCAAAATGGTCCTGTTTATAGCTCCAAAAAATTTTGAAACATGGCATACTTTACAGATTTCAAAAGCAGGTTGACCAATAATTCTCTAAAGTAGTAGCCACATACATAAATACCTTTAAAAATAAATTCATACCCTATCTTTTATAACAGAACTTTCACTAGGATACTTAGCATAAATAATGCTGACAAAAATTACAAACTATATTTAATGGTTTTCAGATGATAGTTTTAACAACTATAAATTGACAACAAAAGTATTATGCTACAGCTACTCCAATCCAAACATGACTCACTTCAGACTCTCTTTGTTCAGACCATTCCTGACTTTGAAGTTCACTCCATTCAGATCTTATAGGTATATCTGAGAAAAATGAAATCTTAAAATTAAAATTACATCCTTCATACTTGTAATTCCTTTGTATTATAGTATATACAAAAAAAAAAACAACAACAGTGTTAGGGATTGTAGGTCAGTGAAGCAGCAAATGCCTAGGATGTGCAAGGGTTTGGGTGTGATACCCAGAACTACAAAAACAAAACAAAGAAAAAGGGAGGGGAAACATGAAACAAAAATCAACAAAAATTGAAGGGAAAATTATATATAAAAAGATACTACACATTTGTAGCAACTATTGCTTTCACAAAAACTGTTCCCATTAATTCAAGAAAATTTCTGAGTTTCTTGCCTTAAAATTTAACTAAATAAATTCAGTTGTTTATTGGCATCTAGATAATGTGAGACGTAGGCAGTAGAAGTATATTGAACTTCACTGATGAGTATCTTTAAAAAAAATTCACCACTAAACATTAGATACTGTAAACAAATTCTCATCTTCACATTCTGCTTAGAAGGGGCACATTATTAATGCTTTGAAAGATCACTTTCTCCCCATTCTCACTAATCTCAGAAGTCATTAATGTCTTTTAGTTAACATCAACAGACTAATTAATGCCTATCCAACAAACCAGTTTAAATGCTGTTACCTACACTAAAAAGTGAAGCAACTAATATTCTCCTAAACAAGTGCTACTTTTAATGCATGAAGTAACACACTAACTGAAAATATATTTGTGATTGCATTTAACTAACTTTAGTATCTAATAAACTTAGTCATCTTAGAAATCTTAGAAATACAATTTTGTTATTTTAAAACAAGAAAATAAAAGCACGTAACCATTACCTATTTCTGATTTTCAATTATTCAGCACAATAGTTACTAGAATAAAATCAGCCATTTTTTTTTCTAGAGTTTAACATTAGGATATAAAATACAGGTAAAAGTAGAAGACACTCACACTCACTCTGTTCACTTGCTAGTACAAAAGATTCAGGAGTTCTTTCAGGTAGGGGAGGAGGTGAATCTTCACTAATGTCAACATCTAAATACATAAAATTTAGACAAATTATTAAAAATTAACAATATATCATCTCAAGTCAGAGCTTTCTTGATATGCTAAGGTTCCCTATCACAAGGATCTAACAACCACTTTTTAAATGCCTTTACCATTATCTTATTAGTAAAGAATGATGAAGCTTACTGAGGAAAGAATGTACTCTATCAATACTGGACACAGAAAATGACTCTTCCATAATTTTCTCAACACTCCAAACTGTCCTATGAGGTGAAAAAAGTGTTCAGTAGAGAAGTCACTTGGGACTTTTGTAATGCATTAGATCCTAAAAAAGGAAAGCTGTAGTCATTTAAGACACTGTTTCCCAAACTAGATTCAACTACATAAGTTCTGTCTTGTTCACTTACTAAACTTGTTCTCTTCCTTTTTTGTTTTTGGTACCAGCACTGGGTAGGGGATGAACTCAAGGTCTCACACTCTTGCTTCTCTGCTCAAGGCTGGTGCTCTGACACTTGAGCCACACTTCCACTTCTGGCTTTTATTTTTGTTGTTCTGGCTAATTTTAGATAAGACTCTCGGGGATTTTTTTTTTTGTCCAAACTGACTTCAAACCATAATCCTCAGATCTTAGCTTCCTGAATAGCTCAGATTATAGGCATGATGAGCCAAAGACGTCTGGCTACTTATTTAAAAAAAAAAAAAATTGTGCTGGTCCTGGGGCTTGGACAGGACCTAGGCACTGTCCTTAAGCATTTGTGCTTAAGGCTACTGCCCTACCACCTGAGCCACAGCTCCACTCCCAGCTTAGTCTCAGGGACCTTACTGATCAGGCTGCCTTTGAACCATGATCCTCAGATCTAGGCCTCCAGAGTAGCTAGGATTAGCTTTTTCTCTTAGTTTTCTGTGTCTAGAAAAACAGGCATATACCACAGGCACCTGGCCACTTATTTTTAATTCAAGTACTTTAGTCACATTTTTCTACCATAACTGAAATATTTGAAGTACTAGTTATTCTTCTAATGTACATAAAAACAGAGCTATTAAAAAGTTAATGACTGGGCTGGGAAGGTGGCTCAGTGGTAGAGCGCTTGCCTTGCATGCATGAGATCCTGGGTTTGATTCCTCAGCACCACATAAGCAAAAAGAAAAAAGCCAGAAGTGGTGCTGTGGCTCAAGTGGTAGAGAGCTAGCTTTGAGCTGAAGAGCTGAGGGACAGCGCCCAGGCCCAGACTTCAGGCCCCACAACTGGACCGCCCCCCCCCAAAAAAAGTTAATGACTATTAACTTACTGTCTAAAATCTTGTGAACAGTGGCACATGGCTGTACTTTTGAGAAACAGAATTAGCTTTTGGCATAAGGACATTAGCCTTTTTGGCATAAGGTTAGCCTTATGAATTGGGACAGAGGGAAATATTAGATCTTTGAGTTTTTACTGCTGGTACAGAAAAAAAAAATGTCAACAGACTATGGTATGTGTAGACTCAGGCTACAAGGATAGGAAAAGAAAATGGGAATGTGAGAATTCAGTATTATTTGGTTCCTCTCTTTTAAAAGGAACAAAACAGTTTGGCCATAAAACTGATAAACTATGGCTGGGAAGGTGGCTCAGTAGTAGAGTGCTTGCCTTGCATGCATGAGGCCCTAGGTTTGATTCCTCAGCACCACACAAACTGAAAAAGCCAGAAGCAGGCACTGTAGCTCAAGTGGAGAGCACCAGCCTTCAGCTGAAGAGCTGAGGGACAGCACCCAGGCTCAGAGTTCAAGACCCACAACGGACAAAAAACCCAAAAACAAAACAAAAATCCCCAAAACAAAAAAAACCCCAAAAATTGATAAACTACTATTAAAAAAACCCAAACACAGAAAATCAAGTAAATTTTCAAGAAGTATTAAAGCAGACATCACACTGCTCTTGCTTTTTTTTTCTTTTTTTGGGGTTCGGTCATGGGGCCTGAACTCTGGGCCTGGGCGCTGTCCCTCAGCTCTTCAGCTCAAGGCTAGCACGCCACCACTTGAGCCATAGCACCACTTCCAGCTTTTTTTTCTGCTTTATGTGGTACTGAGGAATCAAACCCAGAGCCTTATGCATGCAAGGCAAGCACTCTATCACTGAGTCACCTTCTCAGCCCCTGCTCTTGCTTTTCTTGTGTTTTTAACAGGAGATACAAGAAAATAGTCTTTGGATTCTGCTGAGAGTTCTATTTCAATGTGACTTATCTCCTCAGAGTGCTAGAACTGTCTCATTGAAGAACCATCTACCTTATCCTAGCACTGGCAATACAAACGTATTTCTTCTTGCTGTTCCTAACCCTTCACAAATGAAGAGACTGCTGTTCCAAGAAAGGGATTCATAAACATGGCACTGTGGCATTATTTCATAAATTAAAAAACACAGAAGGAAGTGTAATTCTACATGTTTCTAATTATTTAAAGTATCTCAGAAACTACCTTTTCTATCATGACAATTCTCACCACTAGAGAAGTTCATTCTCTAACTGTGGCCCTTTGCTTCTCCACTACATGTTTCTTCCTGGATTGTCTCTCTTGTTACAAACCTTACTCTGAAGAACCTTTCTGGAGGTGTGAGTCATGAAGTTTGGCCTAAGTTTGGCATGAATGAAGCCCTAGAGCATCCATGCAAGGGGAACTCATAGCCAGGATTTTTCATAGAGTAGTAAAACTTATACAAAATGCTACTTTAGATATCAATACCAAATTGCTGAGGTTAATTCACTATTGGCTCAAGTCTGTTATCCTAACTACTTCAGGAATCTGAGATTTGTGGATTGTGGATTGGAGCCAGCCTAGACAGGAAAGCCCTCAAGACTCTTACCTCCAATTAACTACCAAAAACAAACAAAACAAAACCCAGAAGTAGAGTTAAGGCTCAAGTGGCAGAACTTGATCAAAAAAGCTCAAGGACAATGTCCAGGCCCTGAGTTCAAGTCCCAGGCACAAAAAAAAGGAGACCCACCCCCAATTCTGTGTTAATGGTCAAACACTGAATATATAATGTATAATGTAATAATATATATAATTAAGTAATATATAAATCATTATATAACATAAAGCAATCTACAAGATAAATGATTAGCAACAATTAAAATAAATAGGACTACCAAAACTACATAGCAAGAGCCCCTCTCAAAAAGAAAAAAAAAGACAAAAGGATTTCTGGTAGTTAGGCTTTAACAATGAACATTTACAGAAAAACCCTTCAGTTATCATCAAAACAGTAGCATAGGTAGGGTATAGTGAAAAGAAACTAGCAAACAGATTTACAGTGATCTTTGTTTTGAAATACAATTACACAAAGAACAGAAGTGAGCTAGTGTGTTTTTCAATCCCTGCACAATATTTATGACTTTTAAGGAACGGTTTCTACTATCACTACTGGTCATATGGCAGTCAACTTTTAATAAATGTATCATACATCTTTTCTGTCCTTACTAAACTCTATTCCCAGCTAATACATTTGTTTTTTGTTTTGGGGGCTAGTCCTAAGGCTTAAACTCAGGGCCTGGACACTGTCCTTAACCTTTTTTTTTTTTTTTGGCTCAAGGTTAGTATTCTACCACTTGAGTCACAGCTCCACTTCCAGTTTTTTGGTGTTTACCAGCAGATAAAAGTCACTCAAGACTTCCCTGCCCAGGCTGGCTATGAACTGTGGTCCTCAGATCTCAGCCTCTTGAGTACCTAGATTTATAGGCATAAGCAACTGACACCTGGTTTAAAACACAGAAACACACACACACAGAAACACACACAGAAACACACACACACACAGAGAAACACACACACACACAGAGAAACACACACACACAGAGAAACACACACACACAGAGAAACACACACACACACACACACACACACACACACAGCGCCTCAGCCTGAAACAAAAAGCCCAAATTAAAATGTCCACAGAATTTTCTGGTATAGGTTGGCTATTATAGTTGAAACTCAGAAGTTGAGGAAGAAAATATATTAATAACTTAAAATTATAGCAAGTTGGTAAAGTAATTCATATTATAGCAACCATTACCATCTGAAGATCTTTCAAATAAATTATAGAATCAAGAATTCTACTTAAAAACTAGCTTAGACTCTCATTGACTCTATTATTCTTGAGACAAAACCCAAAGTATGTACAATTAGGGAAAATTAAAGTACCACAGTAGGGGTACTACTAGAGTAGGTCAGAAATAAAAGTCAATGTGCAAGTTCATAGCACTTATAAGTATCAGTCTGTATGAGTCACTATCATACTTCATTGACAGCTAAATGACCATTATAGTCAAGGTATCAGTAAAAAGATTTCCGAATTTCTGTATTTGTTCTCAACTTTGTGGTCTACTTTAATAAGGCAGCCATATTGCTTATAGAACACCAGAGAGGAGTTTCAAAAACTAATAATACACTGGCTGTGCACCCTGTAATTCCAGCATGAGGGAGCCTGGATCAGAAATTCCAGGCAAATCTATATTACATAGGCAGACATGCCTCAAAATAAATTAAAAATATAAATCAATAATACACATTGAGTTTAGGTGTTATTTTGAATAAGTAAGACTGCTTAAGGAATCATTAATCAGATAATAGCTTTGATACCTACTTAGTTATATGTATCCTGCTCAGTTCTAAATAAACTGCTTTATGCTACTGGGTAGTTTCCAATAAGGCTCTTAGATTAAACTCAAAATTGAAGGCAATTTTATTGAAAAGTGTCTGCAAAAAAATTTTTAAAGCTACAGGAGACAAAAAAGATGACTAAGCAGGCATTTAAGAGTGAAATTAAATGGCCATCCAAAGCCATTCTATGCTACTGTGTCAATTACTTACTTAAACAATTTTATCTTGCCAAATTACTTCTAATTTGTCTAATAAAATTTTGACCAGGCAAAGTACTAAGAGCTATAATACAGAAGAAAAATATTCTAGTTACAACAATAAAAATATTTTTGGAAAAACAAAAATAAACTAATACAGTAATCAAATTAAAGTAACAACAAATAAAAGCTTATTTTCAAAAAAGTTATTTAAGAAACAAAATTCTGTTGTAGATTATAGTGTATGGCGTAAAACAAATGAATTAGCACAGCTGAAGTCTTTGAACAGTGACTGGCACATGGCAGTGATAGTCACATGGTAGACACTCCATTATTACCTTGTTCAGCACCTGAATGTATGGTTCCTGCTACATCATGTCTAGCAATGGACATGGGCAATACTTTCCTCGTAGAAATGATTTCGGTGCTGGTGGCAGCAGAAACTGTGGCACTTGCTGTTGAAATTGTAGTTTTCTTCTTTGTCACAGCACCCTCAGAAGTCCTTTCATCTGAGTCTGAATCATCAGAGTGAAGGGGATTAGTAAAGCTAAGGGGTGCTATGAACAGAGGTGAACTGCTATGATGATCCACAAGATCATGGATTTCAGCTTCTGCTGCAGGGTTTGACGTTGAACTCACAGTTTTCATGGTTTTCATAGTATCTGAGGATTGGCCTTCAGATGAATCAGTTGTGGGTGTGGCATTTTCTGGTCCATGAAATGACCACGTTGCATGTCCTTTTTTATCAAGAGGCAAGCGGTCTGGCCTTGGTGGTGTATCTGAATTCTGTGATTCTTCTGAAGGTGCAGAAACCTTGTTTGACTGTGTTGTAATGTAGTCCACACAAGAATTCTCAGGATTATCATCAACTTTTACATCCCCTGAACTTAACTCCTGTGGCTTAGACATTTTATCAACCATACAAGATGAAGCAGATTTAATTTTAATCGCATGTCCTCTATTCAAGAGGGTGTTCCCATCAAAACTTTTTGGTCCTTCCTGGAGAGGGACCTTCTTAATCTCAAAACTTAAGTTTCGTTCCAATTTTTTATCTGCCTGTTCAGCAGTTGGTTCATTTTTCCCTGGACCATCTGTTGACTTATTGTAGTTTCTGTTGAGGTCTGTTGAGTGTTCTGATGAAACCATGTGCAGCACTGGCTTTGGGTGGTATCTGTCATTGTCTTGCCACACCGTGGTGACTGTTGGAAAGGCTGAGGGGGGAGATGGTGTCAAGATGGGTGGTACTGGGTGAGGTTCTGGTGGCTGTAGGATTTCTTCCTTAGCATCTCCTTCTACAAGGCAACTGAAAGACATTACCAAAAGGTATTTAAGAATGTCTATCCTCTAAAGAAAGAAAAGGCTGTTTCCTGAAAGTAAGCTGATATATGACATTTACATAAAACTTGGAAAAGTCATATAATACAAGACTTAATGAAAACTATTTTCCCTTCTACCATCCTCCCTAGCCAGAGGCATTTATCTTTTAACTTTTTCACAGCTGCTTCTAAGACTTACCTCAATAATATTTACACTATTATTTCTTGATCTTTCCAAGATACTTTTATTTGGGGAGTTTGAACTCATGGCCCATACTTTGTAAGCAACAACCAAACCACCTGAGCCATATTCTGGGCCTTACGTTTTTGCTTTAGCTATTTTCAGTTGGGATTCCCTACTTTTGCCTGTCTAGTCTCAAATGCTGGTCCTCTTACCTATGCTTCCAGTAGCTGCGATTAACAGATGTGCACCATCCTACCTGGTCATTTCCAAGATTCTTAATTCTAATTTTCAGTTAAATTCAATCTTATGACGAGAGACAATAATTCAACCTTATGACATTTCTTTCCTTTTTTTTTTTGTGGGGGGGGGGGTCCAGTCATGGGGCCTGAACTCTGGGCCTGGGTGCTATCCCTCAGCTCTTCAGCTCAAGGCTAGCACTCTACCACTTGAGCCACAGCACCACTTCCGGCTTTTTCTCTTTTTGCTTATGTGGTGCTGAGGAATTGAACCCAGGGCCACATGCATGCAAGGCAAGCGCTCTACCACTGAGCCACCTTCCCAGCCCTTCTTTCCTTTTTTAACTCCTTGTTTTTCCCTAAGGATAGATAGGTCAAACACAATATCACAGAAATACTTCTTAGATATATCCATTTTCTTGCTTCAAGGTGAACCCACAGTACTCCAGGCTACCAAAGAACCCCGGTTTCAGACTTTCATGTTTCCTAGCCCTCATCTTGATCTTGATAGGTATAAGTTACAGAGGAAGTTACATTTTCTAACTGCTTAAGCATTATATACAAGGCAGACTTCTTTCGCTGTTTTTTTGACAGGATCTCACTAAGTAGTATAGTTTAGTCTTGAACTAATAGTCCTTGTGACTCAACTTCCCAGGTGCTAGGATTACCATTGTATACCACAATGCAACGGTATTAAATTTTTCCAAGCTATGAATCTAGATTAGAAGTAATATAGTTTTGAAATTCTGATTATTTCTTAGTTGTCTTTTTACTTTTTTTTGGGGGGGGGGTCCAGTCGTGGGGCCTGAACTCTGGGCCTGGGTGCTATCCCTCAGCTCTTCAGCTCAAGGCTAGCGCTCTACCACTTGAGCCACAGCACCACTTCCAGCTCTTTCTGTTTCTATGGTGCTGAGGAATCGAACCCAGGGCCTCATGCATGCAAGGCAAGCACTCTACCACTGAGCCACCTTCCCATCCCAAAATGAAATGTTTTCAAAGAAAATGTTCTAAGACTCAGAATACCTGCGAGTCCTTGGTGGCTTTGGAGGAGGAGAATCTTGTTTCTCAGCATCTATGGAGCTAGCCACGTTTTCAGTTGTTATTTCATTCTGTCAAGAACAAATAAAGTTTCATCCAAATTAGGAGAAAAAGGAAATTTCCTTCCTCATGTTTCAACTAAATTATTTATGGCTTTTAGTTTGAAACACCAAACAGCAGGAGAGATTTATATGAATAAACAGTATATATATCAATTGTGCACCATAACAGATCATATATTTCTTTTTTTAAATCTTTTTTTGGTACTAAGGATCAAACCTAGGACTTTGCACTTGCTAGGCAAGCGCTATGCCATAAGCTACATTCTAGCCCATGTCTTGTATTTCAAACGCTATTGTAAAAAAAGATTTTCCAAGAAAATAAACATAAAAGAAGATAGCTTCACCCTTTGCCCCAGTATCACTACTACTTGAAATATTCATTGTATGTGAATAGAGGAAAAAAGACAACAAAATAGAACTTATGTCCTTCATCTTTCACATCTACTTGTAGAATTTACTTCCTAGAAACAGTTAATGCCGTGTTTTTGTTTTGTTTTAAATGCCAGTCCTAGGGCTTGAACTCAGGGCCTGGGCACTGTTCCCTGAGCTACTTTTGCTCAAGGCTAGCTCTCTACAACTTGAGTCACAGCACCACTTCCAGCATTTTCTGTTTATCCAGTACTGAGGAATTGAACCCAGGGCTTCATGCACGCTAGGCAAGCACTCCCACATTCCCAGTCACTCTTTTCTGGATGAATTAGAAGAGTTTTATAATTCTAACAAATAGATAAACAGTTATATCATGAAACTGGAAAATTTCACCCTGACAGCCATCTACTACAACAGAGCCATCTGTTACAGAAATATGTACATATGATTACTACCCAAAATCAAGGATTTCTTGAGAACAAACATAGAGTAACTATTAATATTATATATAGATAATGTGTAAAACTCCAATATGCTGAGCAAATCAGGACTTTGGGTCAATTTTAGATCCTGAGAACCTCAGAACTTAGAACTCTTCCCATTATTAAAGGTTCCTAAAACTATTCAAATATTATTTCCATTAATCACATAATAGTAGCCTAACAATAGTTATATAAAAATAGAAATTAAAAAATAGAAATTTATATTAAGTTCACTAAGTAAGGTAAACTACATGGAACTGCTTTTATTGGACTGTTTCAAACATAAAAAAGGACAATTTTTAGCATTAGTTAATTAAGTGTCCTATCCACTTAGGTTTTGCTGCCAAATGACTGCAATATCACTCATAGTAATATTTGTTTTAGCTTTATATCTTATGTTTTTATTACCGATAAATTTGAATAGCAAAAACAACAACAAAAATAAGGTACTTTAAAAATAAATGAAACTATTCAAAAAATATTCAGGATTCAATATTACAAAATATACAGCACAAACACAACAGAAGAACCATAACAAAGGTTTACGATTGTTTCTTACAGAATCAGAATGGTAAAGTGAATCTTTTTTTTTTTTTTTTGCTGGTCATGGGGCCTGAACTCTCTGCCTGGGCACTGTTCCTCAGCTCTTCAGCTCAAGGCTAGCGCTCTACCACTTGAGCCACAGCACCACTTCCTGCTTTTTCTGCTTATGTGGTACTGAGGAATTGAACCCAGGGCCTCATGCATGTGAAGCAAGCACTCTACCACTGAGCCACCTTCCTAGCCCCTAAAGTGAGTCATTTTATTCAAACCTCCATTTGAAGATCCCCCCCCCACAATTTTTAGATTATGCATTGTCTCCAACTGGGATTTAAATTCTCTTACACTCACCTAATAAAAAGTGACCTATAAGTTGGGGTGCCAGTAATCCTAGCTACTCAAGAAGTTGAGATCCAAGGACCATGGTTTGAACCCAGCCCAGGCAGGTAAATGCATGAGACTATCTCCAATTACCCACCCAAAAGGCCAGATGGGGAGTGTTAGTCTTGAGCACAGGGACAGCACCCAGGCCCTGAACTCAGGCCCCAGGACCAGCACCAAAAATGAAAAGGTGACCTGTATTTAAAAGTCCCTAGAAAACATGACTTCCGAGAAGAAAAGTATTGGGGGGAAAAAAAACCTGTCTAGAGGTGGACCTGTTGCAACAATGAGAAGTACAAGTTGTCATGTCCAAAACGAGCTTTACAACGTCGGTGGGGGGGGGGGGAAGGGGGGAGGAGAAGGATTGGGATTGGGGGGAGGGGGGAGGCTGGGAAGGGATGTGAAGGGTAAACAAAGGAGGAGGATGCAATGCTTGGTAAGAAATGTACGCATTATCCTGCCCATGCAATTGTAACCCCTCTGTACAGTATGTTCACAAATAAAACAAAATTAAATTAAAAAAAAACCTGTCTAGAATGACAATCCTTTCTATCAATTTATCCCTCCAATTAACAAAATTCATTAATTAATTTTATATAATCATTTGCTGCATAAAAGCATTAAGACCCATAGCGTACTGCATATATGCAGGCTGTACTATAGAGTTACGTTGCCTACGGCTGTAGAGGGCTTACATTGTATGAGTTCAACTCTATGATATTCACATACAACTGAAATCACCTAATGAACCTAATGATAATTTCAGCAGAATATATCCTGTGTTAAATAATACAGGTGCATATATTTTAAACATTTGAGAGTCTACAACTAGGTAAGTGGTTTTAAGTAACCACTTACTTACTATTATTTCTTCATCACTTCTCATCTTATCATCTCATCCAATAAATTATCAAGAAAGCACACATAAAAATCCTTAAAACCTGAAACTGTAGCCGGGCGCTGGTGGCTCACACCTGTAATCCTAGCTACTCAGGAGGCTGAGATCTGAGGATCGCGATTCAAAGCCAACCCGGGCAGCAGAGACCGTGAGACTCCTATCTCCAATAAACCACCAGAAAACCGGAAGTGGCGCTGTAGCTCAAGTGGTAGAGCGTTCGCCTTGAGCTGAAGAGCTGAGGGACAGCGTCCAGGCCCAGAGTTCAGGCCCCACGACCGACCAAAAAAAACCCCAAAAAACCTGAAACTGTCACTTAGTCAAAGTTAATACAGGAAATACACAGTCCCTAAAATTCATGATCACTATTAAGGTTACTTAAACAAATGAAATCAGCATTTGGTAACAAATCTCTCATTTGGGAAACCAAGTATTAAAATATGTTCTGGAAAACTGATAAAACCATCCAATAGGAAAAAGGAAACTCGATAGTTAAGTTTTTGCAGCTCATTTTCTCAACTTACACATTAAATGATAAAGATGTAAAGATATTCTTCTCCAAAAAATAGTGTACTTAAGCACAAAGTAATTGTATTCAAAAAAGAAATAAGAATTAGTTAAGAAAACTAAGGTGGAGATGAGAACATTAAGAGAATTAAGTATTTTTGTTGGGTCAAGAATTTTAATATTCAATAAGAATATTAGTGCTAAAATGACATAGAACAACATTCCCAAAAATTTTGCTGAAAAAAGTATATAGTATGCTAGGGTTGATGGTGCACACCTATAACTGCAGGATTCAGAAGGCTGAGGATCAAAGTTTCATGCCAGTTGGAGCCACATGAGACCCTGTCTACATAAGAAGCATGTAGTATCCACAATATAACAACAAAATCTTACAATGGCAAAACAAAATAAAATTTAAATAGAATTAAACAGGAGGGAGGAACAAGCTAATAAAATCTAGGTTATATAAAAATAATAACTATCATGAGCATTAGTACCTTGGATAAAACACAAGGCAGCAATTTAAATGTTAAATTTTATATTCTGGCAAAAAGTAGAAGTTTGATCCAGGCACTAGTAGCTCACATCTGCAATCCTAGCTACTTAGGAGGCTGAGATCTGAGGATCGTGGTTCAAAGCCAGCCCCAGCTGGAAACTCCAGGAGATTCTTTATCCCCAATAAACCTGCAGGACAGGAAGTGGTGCTGTGGCTCAAGTGGTAGAGTGCTCGCCTTGAGCTGAAGAGCTGAGGGACAGTGCCCAAGACCAGAGTTCAAGCCTCACCACCGACAAAAAAACAAAAACAAGGAGCAGTTTGCTAAAACAGGCCAAGAATACTTACTACACCATCAGAAATTTTCTGGGTTCCATGAATTTCATACAGTTGTAACTGTTTTTCAAACAGTTGTGCAATGGCTCGATGAACAAGCTCGTACTGCTCCTATTTGGGAGATAAGTGTTAAACAAGGGAAAAGACTTAAAACGATCAAGAAGACATTTAAAAAAAAAAAACAGTTTATAAAGTGAAACCAACAACTATACCTTTGTTTGTACTGCAGAATGCCTTTGTGTTCTCATTTCTTGTATTAAATTAAATACATTAAATTCCTCTGGTATTTTCTAAAATAAAGAATTTAATATATATATGTATATACATATATAAAACTTTACACAACTGAACATGGTATAATACTAATCAACTTCTCACAGACCTTAAGATACATGCTGGATAACTGTGAACATTTATTGAGACACTATATATGGCATTGTAGACACAAAGCTCACCCAGATCCTCAAGAGTCAAGCTGCAGAGCTGGATGAGTGAACAAATAAAAATCTAGCCTAAGTATGGTAACAAGAGTAGTGGAGATAGAAACTGTGAAAAATCCTAGTGGGTACAAGCTGGGTATTAAAAGAGGTTAATTCATTAAAGTAAAGGAAATATATACAGGCATGGCAGACTGAATCTATAATTTCTTTGGATAACCAAGTTTGATATGGAAAAGGCCAAGGATTAGAAAGAGAAAAAAAAGCTCTAAGAGAAGATGAGGCTACTTGTGACCTCAAACTTTAGATAAAATAAAAGACGGAACTAACTCTACAAAATGCCAGTCTCTTGGACTGATACATAAAAAAAAAGACCTGAAAACAGTTGGCAAAATACTGATCTCACACATTAATTCCCAGAGGTTTATGACAGTGCTACCAAGTTTGGGGTTTGTTTGTTTGTTTGATTTTTTGGGTCCGGTCATGGGGTCTGAACTCTGGGCCTGGGTGCTTTCCCTCAGCTCTTCAGCTCAAGGCTAGCACTCTACCACTTGAGCCATAGCACCACTTCTGGCTTTTTTCTTTCTGCTTATGTGGTGCTGAGGAATCGAACCCAGGGCCTCATATATGCAAGGCAAGCACTCTACCACTGAGCCACCTTCCCAGCCCCTCTTTCTTTTTCTTGTGCCAATCTTGAGGCTTCAACTTTGAGCCGGAGTGTTGTCCCTGAGCTTTTCTGCTCAAGGCCATTGCTCTGCCACTTGAGCCACAGCTCCATATCCAGTTTTTTGGTGGTTTATTGGAGATAAGAGTTTCACAGACTTTCCTGGCTGGGCTGGCTCTGAACCAAGATCTTTAGGTCTTAGCCATCTAAATAAATAGGATTATAATCATGAGCCACCAGTGCCTGGCTTACTACCAATATTTTATTCTAAAAGAAATAAAAGGTTTATCATACCATAAATCATCATACACGTTATACATCTGAAAAAATAGATTTAAATTAATCTAAAAACTAATTTTTCTAAAACTCAGAAACTTTTTTTTTTTTGCCAGTCCTGGGGCTTGAACTCAGAGCCAGAACACTCTGCCTGAACTTCTTTTGCACAAGGCTAGCAATCTATAGCACTTGAGCCATAGCACCACTTCGGGCCTTTTCTGTTTATGGTACTGAATTAATTGAACCTAGGGCTTCATAAATGCTAGGCAAACACTCTACCACTAAGCCATAATCCCAGTCCCATGATATTTTCATTTTAATTAATAAAACAAAATATATTTTTTCTTTCATTCTTTTTTTTTTTTTTTTT